TAAAAGTGAAAAATGAAGCCTACAGAAAGAAGGTTCAGCGTCCCACAAGGCTCTCCCAAGAAACATATAGAAGAAAAAGACGCGAAGAGAAGAGATTATTCCGCGGAAAGAGAAGAGCTTGGGAAAATAAGAACATGGAGGACACAGAGGCATTGCGAGGCCAAAATGAAAGTCGCCTGTTCTTTCAGAGAATAAACGAGGGTAGGGCAGCTTTTAGGCCCAGAGTGACGGCATGCAAAGACACAAATGGAACTCTTTTAAGCCACAAAGATGACGTACTAAGGAGATGGGTACAACATTTCAAAGGCGCATTAAACAGAGGAACGGTGCCTGGAGAAGTAGGTGTAATGAAGGAAGACTCCCTGAATTCTATTGAACCCCCGGATGAGGAGGAAATGGAAAACGCCCTGAGGAAATTGAAAAATGGAAAGGCGCCAGGCCCGGACGGAATCCAGTCAGAGCTGTTGAAATGTGGAGGTGAAGAACTCAAGAAAGCTCTGCATGATTTAATGCTGACCATCTGGGAGAAGGAAGCTATGCCTACGGAATGGGCAACAGCCATTATCTGCCCAATACATAAGAAAGGAGATCAAACAGAATGCGCTAACTATCGAGGAATCTCACTCCTTTCGTGTGCTTATAAGCTGCTCTCTAACATTCTTTTTGAGAGGATCCTCCCGTATTCTGAAAAGGAACTGGGGAAATATCAGGCTGGATTTCGAAGAGGACGCTCAACGACTGATCAACTGTTCTCTCTGAGGATGATCCTAGAAAAGACTATGGAGCGTAAGGTAGTCACCCACCATTTATTCCTGGACTTTAAAGCAGCATACGACAGCGTTGATAGAACGCAACTATACTGTGCCTTGGAGGAGCTAAGCATCCCTCAGAAGCTCGTACGCCTAATCAAGATGACCATGGACAGCTCGAGATGCAGAATACGCGTCGGTTCTGACGACTCCGAAGAGTTTAAAGTGAGCAGTGGGGTTAGGCAAGGGGATGCCCTCGCCTGTCTATTGTTCAATTTGGCAGAGGAGAAAGCTGTAAGAGACTCCGGTATTCAGACCAAAGATATAATCTTCAATCGCCTGACACAGCTTCTTGGTTTTGCTGATGATATTGACATAATAGGTAGGTCTGAACGGGCTCTCAGAGAAGCGTTTATAAGCCTTGAAGCAGCTGCAAGACCACTTGGTCTAGAAGTCAACGAGAGGAAAACTAAGTATATGAGAGTTGGCGGTGAGGTGGATCTGAACTCTCCATTTGAGGTAGGTTCTTTTAAGTTTGAGAGAGTGAAAAGTTTTATATACCTTGGGTCTGAAATTAATAGCAAGAATGACATGGCTCAAGAAATACAAAGAAGGATCACGGCTGCCAATAGATGTGTCTTTGGACTTGGCCGACACTTAAGAAGTAGGTACCTCTCAAAGAAGACCAAGCTGATCATATACAAGACCCTTGTTCGGCCTGTTTTGACATATGGCTCAGAGGCTTGGACGATGACTAAAAGGGATGAGATGAAGCTGAGTGTCTTTGAGCGAGGAGTCCTCAGAAGGATTTATGGTCCAGTAAAGGAGGGTGATGTCTGGAGGAAAAGAAAAAATAGGGAGCTCAGTTCTCTCTATGCAGACATCGACATAGTCACGTATATTAAACTGGCTAGACTAAGGTGAGCAGGGCATGTGGCCAGAATGAGCACCCTTGAAATACCAAAAAAAATAATGATGGAGGAGCTGCACCTCGTAAGACGGGTAGGAAGGCCGAGGACGAGATGGTTGGACAACGTGGCCTATGATGCGAGAACCCTGCTTGGTGTGCGGAACTGGAGAGCTGCAGCAGAAGACAGAGCCAACTGGCGGAGGCTCTTGGAGGAGGCCCAGTCTCGGTAACGGGATGTTGTGCCATACATGAATGAATGAATGAACTGAAGTTATTTTGAATATATAATAAATAATATCATTAAAATTTATTTTTCTATCATTTACTTCATATACCCACTGATGTATCGTGTGTTTTAATCCAATATTTATTAAATGCAATTTATTTGAAGCCACTATGTCAAAGCTAAATGCGCTTTTTATACCTTCACTTTTGTTATCTTAGGAACCATTCTCGAAAAAAAAAAAAAAATGCTTCTTGCAAAATGGTATAGGATTACTATATATATATATATTATATATATATATATATATATATTTGTAACCCATTTTATTAAACGAAAACTGTTATCTTATTTAAAAAGTAAAATTTATTATCTCTAAGCTTAAAATTTATTTATTAAATTATTATTTTTAACCTTTTTTTTTTACAAATCTATTCTATTGTAGAAATTAACTAATAAATTGATGATATATGGCTACGGAAATAATATGTAGAAAAATACTATCAAGGAAAAATCCATCCTACACTATTTTGCAATGATAACTGCTTATTTCAGATTTCATTGGATTATACTTAAAACTAAATTAACTAGATGAAAAATATTATTCATATTTTTGTCACCTTGTCACAGTGTAATTATATATTGTGTTTTAAGTGCAAAAATCATGTTTATGAAAAAACGCAATTGAAAGTTTGGAATTATAACTAAACCAAATATAAATAGAATATTTATAGCATCGCTATCTGAAAAAATCTCGCAGTTTTCCTTTCAAGGTTGATATGGCTTTCTAACGTCTGTTCCGAGCCATCATCCCGTCTGGCCCGCACCATCGAGATCTTCCACCTCTTTGCCTTTCCACTTAGCCGATGAGGCACCCTTCGCTGACCCTCCAAGGTCAATATATTTCTGGTCAAATGGCCCTTCTATGGAGTAATGATTCCTGGAGAAGATGGAAAGGCACTATCAGCGTTCGGACACTGCAGCGGTAATAGTTAAACGTTATCCAGTTGACCGAGAGATACCGAAGAAGAACCCGTTGGCGAAAGATATCGGTTATGTTCTGGTAATTGGCTATAAATCTGACTTTGAACCCGGTTTAGTGTGAACAAGAACAAACCACATGTCTTATGTTATTGTTAACAATTTTTTACTACTACTCCCCCATCGATTCCTCCATCTTGAAGCATTCTATAGAATAGCTATACTCATAAAAGTTCGAAGTACTAATTTAAACTTCATTTCTTCCTGTATTCTGTAATAATGTTAATTAATAATTCTTGGCTACTTATTTTGTTTTGGTATTTTCTAAAAGTAATTTCAACTAAATAACATTCATCGACCACTGAAAAATAAATATTTTATTATTTCACTATTCTTATTTTGCATAGCATAAGTAAATATTTTTAATATAGAAACAAAATTATTCTATATTTCTTTGATCTCTACTCTTCTACTTCTCCTCCAAAGATCCTAAGCAAATCTTATTTTCTTAAACTACCATATAGTAAGCAATACAGGCGGATCTACGGGGGGGTGGGGGAGCGAGAGGTGGCTTTCGGGCTGAACTCTCTCCAAAATGGTAAAATATAACCACGTTTTATAGAAAAAAATATTCAAAACTATCTATTTAAGTATTATTGTTTGTTTAATTAGATTTAATAGGACTTCAAGAATCACTTAATCACCACGTCATATAGATATTTAGTTTCTTTCTTTTTTTTCAAATTAATTATCGCTATATTTATAAAACAAAAAAAAAAAAGCTTTATGGCTGAAGAGCATTAATTTACCTTTCCAGCGGCTTTATTAAAGGTGAATTTGAATAAAATCCTGAGCAGTTATTAATGCTTTAGTTAACGGCCGAAAAAAAATCCTACAAGAAAATCAAGTAATAAAGATTTTATTTTTTTTATTTAAATAACACACGGATTAAAGAAAGGAATTTAATTTTATTTTTCATAACGTAAATTTACTTGGCTTGCTTTACTGAAAGCACCTTTGTGTTTTTATAATTTATCATACATCACAACTCATTTAATGCAATAGTTAATATATTTTTCTTATTTTGGATAAAAAATTAAAACGATTGATATATAGTAACCTAAACACATCCGGGCAAAGCAAAGGCAAAAATAAATCACATAAATTTTATTTGAAATTATATAAAATATTTTTTTTATCGGCACCTAGGGTCCAATGGAAAGAATGCCGGGAAACTGGTCTAATATTTTGATATAGTATCGCAAAATAAAATTTGGTTTAAATCGGTGACCCACAGACTGTATTAAGTTATAGAATTGTTTAGTATCAGTAAATGAGTGTTTCGCGGTTAACTGCAAAATAAAAAAAAATAAACTAGGGACCTCAAAAAAAGAAAAAAATTTCTTCTGAAGGTATGTTTGCAACGCTTTGTTTAGGAGATATTCACATCCAAAGATTTTCGTTGTTATGAATTATTCACGTTATATGAAATAAATAAAACCTATTTATTTGTTTTAACTACTTTATTAATTAAATCTAAACATTAATGTTAATTATGTAAATTAAATATTAATTATCCCAATCAATGGATTGGCCATGGACAACACTGGATTTTTTTGTTTGGGAAGAAGGATAATTGAATCTTGTGAAACAATAACACATATCCAGTGCCGTTCTGCCACTGCTGCTGTAGAAGAAAGATGCCGAGCCTGTCTTAGTGCTCAAGGAAATCACTTTGAACAACATTTAACATGAATTTAATGTTTACGCTTAGTTATTAAAGTTGTTAGAACAAATAAATAAGTTTTATTTACTTACTATAACGTAAATAATTCATAACAATGAAAGCTTTAGGTGTGAATATCTCCTAAACAAAGCGTTTGCGAACATACCTTCAAAGGAAATTTTTTTCTTGTTTTCAGGTCCTTAGTTCATTTTTGCAGTTTGGCCCCTTAATCCCTGTTTAACTATAGATTAAGTAAATATATTAAATATTTATATAGGAATGAATATATTTCGCTGATGAAGCTTATTTTATGAATGAATTAGAAAGAAAGATCTAGTGTGACAGTTCTCACTGCGGTACATTCTTATTATCTTATCTTTTATAAAGGAATAGTGAAATAATAACAAAGAGATATTACATAAATAATAAAATTATTTATTTAGTTACAATTAAATTACACTGGAGGGATTCGGTTAATTGGGACGGATGCGTTAAGGGTCCTGATGATAGATCCCTTAGTGGACAAGGACGGTTGGAGCGTGGTGAAGGACTGGAACGGTCTTGACGAGTGGAGCGTGGACGACTGGAGCGGTGTGGATCAATGGAGCGGCGTGGACCAATGGAGCGTGGACTAGTGGAGTGACCACTGGGGCAGCCTTAACTACTGGAACGGTGTGGACCAGAGGGGCAGCGTGGACGACTGGCACTGGGTGGACCACTGAGGTCTTCACGATGCTGGAGTGGGAGGTGGCCAAGGGGACGACTGCGACTCCGGGGGCTGCTGCGGCGACGGCGGCCAAGGCGAAGAGAAGAGCCTGTGAAGTAGAAAGAAGATAACATAAAAAAAAAGATTCAGCGTTCATCGTCAAACAATACATAATATAAACTTAAAATCATTCAACTACAACTATTTTACATAAGACACAAGTCATGTGACATAGAAGTTCTTTTTATTCATATAATTAGGTTTTAGAGGCGTCTTTATAAAAACATATACGAGTACGAGTTTAAGGAATTAAGGAGGTACACTAAAAAATCTGTTGATAGTATATTGAATGATAATACAATCTACCCCATTGAAGGGCAACAAGTATTAGTGCTACAAGAGTTCAAGACTAAAAATAAATTCCAATAAAAATATAGACCACTGGCAGATCCCTTGTTGATCTTTAGCTGAAGTCCCACCCCAAAATGAAAAACTTTATTTTTTTTTTTTTAATGTTCCATATTTGTTTCTGTGATTTATCTGGGATAGATACTTAAACAATCAAAATATGTACTCTTTACAAATCATAATGCAAGTTATTTATATAAATATATAATTTACCCCTTTTGTTTTTTACTTTTTTGTTAAATGTGTGAAATTTAAGATCTATATTATTAAAAAGTATTTAATAAATAAAATCAAAATAAACCTCCAGGATCGGCCGAAAACTCCAGTGTTCCATAAATTCTGGAACTGTCGGTAATGTGACCTCGACTTCTTGGCGGTCAAGAGCGCCCGTCGACCCTCCATTATCATTTAGTACACTTTCTTCAGCGATCTCTTTAAGTATACTGCGTATCTTACGATTTTTGTATATCAGTAACTTTTTTTTGTTTTTATTTGTTTAACAAATTACATCATAATATTTTGCATATTATTATCATGTAACCTATAGGTTTAGTCAAAGAATACCGAAACCCAATAGGTTTTATTTTCGAAAAATATAAATTTAGAGATAAATCCTTTAAGCTCTCCACCCCCAATTTTTGCCTGGTAATTTAAATAAAATTGTATAATCAAATTATTCCAATAATAGCTAGTTATATCTTATTAAAGTCCCATTAACTGTTATCAATGTAAAACAGTAATAACAGTAACAGTTTTTATTACCAATTATTCATTCACTTGGCGTTTCGAATTAGCCACACATTTTCAAAACCATTTAACTGGTTATAATACATTTTATTTTAATTTATGTATAAGAACTTTTGATATACTATATCCTTTGTTATATTTTATATTCATCTTACTCATTCTTAAACTTTTATAAAAGTTTAATAAAAAAAGTGTCATGATGAAAAAACTAGTTGATTATATTAAATATATTGTTTTTCCATCATACTGATAGAATAGGATTGTACCGATGATTAAATAAATACAATAAATTGAGTACAATAAGATGAATGTAAAATAAATCAGCAATATATTATATCAGATTTTTTCTTGAAAGAAAAAAAAAATAAAGAAATACTGCCAAATGCATATAAAAATTAACCAGAAACTTTTAAGTTTATTGTTGTTTATGGTTTTAATTTATTTTAAAGTTTTATCAAATCAATTTTTTATTTATAGACTTATATAGGAATCTACATCTGGTCAGTCAGTCTCTCCTGGTATGAAGACAAGATTAGGATGGCGGTGCATCTTTCGGGAAACCCAATGAATTCCTCAATGTATCGAATCAACAAAGATGCAACAGAGCTGCATGCAGATAACTGGAAAGATATAGCCCAAGACAGGCAGAGATGGAGAAGGCTGGATAACGCGGTTAAGGTCTGTAGTGACGTCATAAAAAAAATATAAAATAATCTAGCACAATCAGACTCGAACATTTTCCAATGAAGTCCCATTCCCACTAGAAGTGTATAAAAAACATTTTAAATAGTGGTGAAATGTCGATTATTTAAAGCATCTTGAAACTTGTAATGATAATGTGTCTGAATAGCTGCATGAAAAATAGCAAGCTAACCTAGCGACAAAATATCTACAAGGACAGTAATCCAACAGAAAAAACGCTGCACATTATTTCACAATGGTTTATTATTTCCAAACAATTATACAATTAAAATAACATTACCGCCCTAGTGACAAATAATAAAAGATTATTCCAATTATTGGACCAAAAAAATTTGTTTAATCATTAGTAATATGCTAGAAAAATTAGCATTACTTCAGTAACACATTCAAAAACCAAAACAAAGGATATAACCTTTGCAGTATAGCATACGAAAAACATCTAGAGACAATATCTTTGCTCCTATTTGTCCGATTTTTATTTTTTTTTTTTACGAATTTCGTAAACGTTTAAATAACTAAGACAATATCCAATTTTTTTTTCAGTTTCTTTTCGTTAAAGTATGTTATATAGATAAACTTAAAGGGCATCGAGAAGAAGACTTTAGCGAAGTTTCATATGAATCGGTACAAACGGTTAGGCGCTACAGTGTATAGCAACTCAGGTTTTTCGGTCGACATCTTAAAAGGAAAAGGCAAATAGAAATGTCGATGAAGGAGGATCATTCTCGGGTGACCTCTAATTTTAAATTCAAATTTGAAAAAAAAGTTTTAGAGAAAATGGGTGTAAGGCGGAGGCCGGACGGACAAAAAAGTTTTTATTAGTTTTTGGAATGCTACGTATCCTGAAATGTAAAACCTCAAATTTTGAGAGGAGGTTCAAATTTGAATTTTTCGTTCGATTACAGTGGCTCATTATTGAAAATAATAAACCAAAAATATATATGAATCAAAATAGATGCTTCAATAATTTTAATGTTATGCCGTCATAAAATACTAAATAAATTAGTTAGTGACTCAAAATGCTGTCCCTAATATATTTGTAGACACAGGGGGAATAGACAGGGGGAATACTTGAATAGGACAGATGACGGCAAATAATCGCAGGGGACGCATATCAGTCCTGCGATTGGTCACGCGAAACAGTCACGAGACCCCGCGGCGCCCCAGTTCGCCAACCAGGCTAAGCGTTATTGATGGGCCCTGTCCCAGTCCGCCTATGAAGGGTTTTTCCGGCCGTTCAACTTCCCCGATGGATCTCTGGCGGAAGGAAATCCGCAACATCTAGGTCGGAAGGGCCAGGAGAGATATGGAATAAGAGCCAGAGTTTAATAAACCCCAGGAAAGCAAGATTTTCCTAAAGGTTTCATAATTTAAATGCAAAATAAGAATTGAAACAAATATTTTTGACGAAAGTATTTTTGATTCATGGTTCAACGCAATACTCATGCATTATTTAATTCGATATCTAGTCCAATTCAAAGTTTTTTCACTAATTCATGACAAATAATTAATCAAGCCCAAGTTAATAAATGATGATGGGAGGATAGTTATTATAAAGGGTGTGGACTTCGAAATTCGTGCTTCGATGTAGAAAACAAAATCGGATATTAGATACGAAAACTCAATGGTCATTGTTATATTTTGCTGAAATTTTCATCAATACAAAATTTATCTAAATCCCTGGAATAAACTTGTAAAACATGCGCGTAACTATAAACTATGGTATAACCTTTACGTTTACCATTTATTGGCCGGGCCACGTTAGGTTGCAGAGCCTTGCATTTGAAACTTGTAAACTTTATATGAGTTTACTACACAGTCAATGTAACTTCTAGAAGAAAAATTAAAGAGACATGGTTCAGAACCTAGTCCAATTTTCCTTGTGATCCACACATAGATAATAGACAATTCTTGAAGTCTATGCATTGAAAGTATCAAAAGGACAGACATTTAAACAAGGCAAGCGAAATAATAATTATTAGCTTGGAGCCGTTCCTTAATCTATCAATTAGGATTATTTTGGAGAAAATTCTAATATAAAAAGCTGAAAAAGAGAGTTATATTAAATTTTGAAGCTGAAACGAGGCTGTATTATTCTTTATCATATTTTTTAATGATCGCATTCGGATAACATATGAAAAGCATTGATAAAATATCATTTGAGAAACCTATTCAAGAACGACAATTTGCCATCCAACTCTCTCTGTGCTGTTAAAAAATTTAATAAAAGTTCCATTTAAATAAAACTTATAAGATGAAACTTGATGGCAAAGGCGTAAAACATACTGACCGCACAGTATCAAACAATGTTTAAACCGGAGTTTGTTTTTTTAACCTGAATTTCCACCATTTAGAGACTTTAGTTATTCAATTTAAAACAATCTAGAAGTGTCGTAAGAGAATTCAATAATCTCATTTAGTAATATTCCAAACTCAATAATATATGAGGGGCTCTAAGCCAGAGCCAGAGCCAGTAAGTAATAAGTAGTACATTAATTTTTATTTTAAGAAAAAAAATGTTTCTCCAAAATCATTACGATAAATTCCATTGATCCACGAGTCCAACGTTGTTTGAGAAATCAATTCAATATAGTCAATTTAGGTTTTATTGTGAGGTAAAATTATCTAAATTTTATTTTTACTTTAGTTTAAATATAAAAATGACAAACCACCATAATGTGAGTCATAAAAATTAAAGATTCATAGCTCGATAAGAAATGAGAAAACAGACAAATAAATGGGAAAACTATTCAGATTTTTAGTTAGTTCAATTTTTCTTTTAACATATTAGTACTTCAACCCATCTCATACGAAAATTACAAAAATTAACACAAATTGTTTTCTTTAAAATATAATGTCTTGTAAATGTTCATTCATTCATCCTAATCATCTGAAAATTGTTTAAAATTTTTGTTCCAGTAAAGTAATTGAATATGATCATTTTTTTCGTATGGAAAAGAAAATTGTGCTCGTCTTATTAAATTAAAATTTAAGCGCAAGTGAAGTAAACCAACATTTGAGACTTTTCTCATTTGATTATTAGTAAAACTTGGAAGTCTATTATAAAGATCCCGATTATAATATATGTTATTGGGAACAATAATTGTTCCGTCCTAGAGACTTTGTTGTTGTCAGTGAGTCTAAATTGAAAGGAACAAAGTTGTAGTTGTCGAATACTCACGATCTTGATCATGTTGATGATGTTGTTCCGTTGCCAAGAGACTACTGGATGCTGGATGCTGGGTCCCGGGGCCTTATATACTCCAAGGACTGACCTTAGCGTACCCCACCACGCTCTTGCCGTACCTGTGTACCTTTGCCAACGCCCAGCTTTGTACCTTCCTCCTTCCGTCAGATCAACATGAAATATACAGACCACATCCATCATGACCCTAAAGTGTTTTTAAGTAGTAGGAAGAAGAAAAACGAATCTTAGCAAGCCAATGTTGCAGATATAGATCCTCTAAGCAGGATTCATGATACAATATTCTTCGACTTTGAGGTCATCTACGAAGTATAAAAAAAAAGGACAGAATTGCAAGCGGTCCTATTTGGCAATACATTCTTAGTATCCACTTTGATATATCATCTTAAGATTTAACTTATGAAGGAATCTTAAGGGGATATTAAAATAATAAAGTAGAAGACTCGCCGATTATGTACATCGATAGCTATTCATGTCGAGAATCTGAACAAGTGTTAATCAGATAATAACCTACTTTTCAAAAAACATCGAATACATTCAGGTCAGGCCCACATCCAACATGGTATAGCAATGCAAAAAGCTCAATTTATTAATATAAAAAAATATATTTAAGAACGTGGAAGGATATACTGAACAGATAAAGAAACAAAGAGTAAGACTTGAAATAAATGAAGAGAAATATCTAGATATAAAGAAAAGAAGAGGAACAGTTAATAAGATATAGGTCCTAGAAGTAGAGAAGAGAATTAAGCAAAGAAGGAAATGGATAGAAGAATGGAAAAATTTGAGAAAGTTTAGACTAAAAGGAAAGAAATAATGACACAAGCGCGGTCCTCAGTTGGCCCATATTATTCATATTCATAAAACTTAAAATTTTGTGTAATATCTTAATTTAGTAAATCAAGAGTACCAGTAGAAATAATTTTGGTCAATTTTTTTTTTTAATTTAACGATTGGAGTAGAAAGAAGAGAATAGAATAGAAACATTTTATTGGCTTAATATACATCGTGGCCATGAAGTCTGGCCCATTTAATGTTAGTACGGATTAGCAACGTAGAAGAAAATAAGTAAATAAATACAGTATAAGAAGAAAAAAACAAAAATATTTTTATATAACAAACATCATAAATATCTTTATACTCCAAATATTTTTACTATTTATATATAAATATATTTATATAATAAATATCATACATGAGATATTATAAATGGATAAAATTCCATGTATACTAAAGACAATTTACTATGCAGAATACAACCAAGAAAAACAAATAGCAAAGATCTTTGGATTACAACGCACATGTAGAAACGTACAATTAATAATAATAATATTTAAAAGACATCCAAATTGTGAATAAATACACGTACGCCCACGGCACATGAACACATGCCTGACTGACCTAAAGCTGAGGGTTTGTACTTGTATTGATAGAGTCACAAACACTTACAATAAAATAAAATATTTTGTTCAACTGGTCAAGATTTTTTATATCCAACACACACTCCAGTAGAAAGAAGAGTCGAAATAAAACATTGTATTTTTGAAAAGGTTATTTTTATTTCTTTTTTCAAGTGGTTCTGAACTGAAATATTTTTTATTCTTTGGGAATTTAAAACATATTTCATGTGTTTTATGTTAATTGAGGAAGGCAAAAATAAAATAAAAAATCGTTGGTTCATTTGAAAAATTCATTAAATGACTTTTTATAACCTTAAATCACTAAAAATGTTATCAATTTTCCTTGTGTGTTAAATTAAAATTAAAATTAAAAAGTTGTGACCTTGTTGTAAGTATATTCGATATATGAAAGGGTTTTTTCAATTTATTATAACTTACTGTGTTTTTTTTTTTTTTATCGATAAATTAGATCGAAATTCACAAAAACTTTCTTAAAAGTTCTTTTTCTTAAAAGTTACATTTCTTCATTAAAAATGTACTTGACTTTTTGCAATAAACCAACTTTTTGACGGTATTACTAAAAATTAAAAAGGTGTGACAACCATATTTGATAAGGGGGTAGGAGGCACCTAGTTCAGAATCCCTTGAAAAATACTTCGCACGATACCAGTTTATTATAAAGAATTAAACATCTGTATCCATGAGCTACTCAGTTATGTATATGAGATTAGACGAATCTTCACGAAACCTCAACCCATACAATATACACCCTCATATGCTAAGAGGTTGAATGGCCTTGGTTTTTTTGTCTTTTATTTTTAAATCATCAACTATATATTTAAAAAAAAAACAAAAGACAATTTTCATTTTAATCAAAAATCTCAACTAGAGATATAGGTTAGATACTGGGTTATAATTTGAAAATACTAACAATACAGCCTTTACCACTAAACATGCGTTTAGACTTTTCACAAACTATGGGAAACACAAATAATTTGTTTCTTGTTTTTGATATTTTTCATAAGCATTCGGGAACAAGAGAAATTTTAAAAAGAAGTTGGGCTAAGCGCTAATGTCGCTGTTAGTTAAGTGATTTCTTGTTGTAAGTTGTAAATGATAATTTTGTTTCCTATAGTTTGGGAAATGTTCAAACGCACCTTAAAATGCAGATAAAGAACAAAACTAACCCAGCTATGGTTTGCCAATCATGAGTTCACCAGGGTAGAAAAACAAGATTACACACTCTATGAAATGCAAACACATACTGAAAGAAAGGGGAGGTAACACAGTTGAGCTAGTAATGTCTAGAATTGAATTTCATTTTTAATATCCATAACTTGTATTTTTCCTTAATGTATTTTAGGTGGATAGGTTTAACCTGGATTTAGAGAAATGTTAGCTTTATAAAAAAAAAATCATTGATGGAACTTAGAAATGTCTACTTATTTATATCTAAGAAATGAAACATGACAAACTACCGAGATATAAACTTTTTTTGGATAAATTTCCAGTATTTATAGTTCCTCTGTTTTCTGACTTATCTGATGTAAACACATTGAAAACATCTCAATTCGTGTATTGCGTAACTTTTTATTTCGTGAAAAACAAAAATAAATAGGAATTTCAGCCTTGTATTTTATTAGATTTAACTCCAACTAGAACAGGAATGGTGAGTTGTCTAAAGGTTACCTAGTGTTTCCTGAATGAATAGGAAGATCTATATTTATTCCATCAGTCCTTAACAAAATATATATTAACCACTGAATATATAAGAATTAGATGTGGGATAAGCTAAAGAAATACATATAAAGGGGGATGGCAAAGTGGCTGAATGAGCTGAACGAGTGTAAAAGATGCTTTTCCCGGCGAACTGATAAACTGAAGATTACAAGTTCGAATCCTGACTTTTAACTCTAACACTGATCCCCCGCTTTCTCCTCTGGCCTGAGAAAACTCGGAATAGCCAGGGTAAGGAGGGAAGAAAAAGAGAAGAAAAAAAAACGCCTCTTGCTACACATAGAAAAATAACTAAATTACTTGTGCATGTAATTCAAAATATTTTTATTATATGAATGAGTATTTAATCTCTTCTTGTATTTAATCCCGTTGGAAAAAAATATATTTTATTAAATCAGTTCTAATAATTTATTTTTCAGTTTGTATTTCTTTCATGATTTTTTAATATAAAATAAAATAAAATCCACACTTAACTTATTAAAGGATATGAAACGCAGTGCTAAATGACCTACGTCCTAAATTGCTAAATTGCTATGTCCTAAAATCCCATTATTTTAATGTAAAAACAGTGTTGACTGAGTCATGCTCAGTCCTAAAGTCATGCCAACATAAAGATAATTCCGGTTACCTAAGAAAACAAATTTGTTTCAAATTACTATTACTTGATGGCGCAACAATCCATAACTGATTATGGGTCTCTTCCAAGAGCCGCTGCCAATGTGCTGCAGCTGCCTGATTTTGGATCTCAAGAAACTGCCCAGCATCTGATATCCTCTCCACCATCCAGTTTGCTTCTTGGCTTCCAGCTCTACGGGTCCGATATAAAGCCTATGTTATAAGTTCAGAGTTATTCATTATTGCCACAAGAATAGCGGAACGAAGTCTCCCAAACCAAACTGACTATCGAATTCTTTAATTAACTCAAATCTCTATACCTATGCTCGATTAGAATACTTTATCAGAGCAGTGGTATTTTCTCCGTTTACATATTCTATAGTCTCTGTTCTATTTAAACTATTTTCCCCAAAACACCCTATCCTAAATTCTTTTAACACTGGGAAAATAGTAAAAAAAAAATACTAAAGTCTCACTCAGTCCCATATTAAAAAATTTACGGAACCCATCGGTATGCTCAGTGTGTCTCCTGTTATTAAGATAAAGCTCCCTTCTTATGTTAAGAATCCAACTTATATCAGTATTACTTCAGTTTTTTTTTTACAATACGTCTATGTGATGATTTGATTCTTTATAAATAAAAGATAACTCTGGCCTTCCTTCAAAAGAAATAAATCTTTATCTTAAACGCCTTTTGCTTAGTGTTAAAACAACTTGATAAAAATTTAACGTGCAATTTCGAGCTTGTCGACGCCTTTTTCTTAATGTTAAAACAACTTGATAAAGATTTAACTAGCAATTTCGAGATTGACGATAATTTTATGAACAAGAAACAAGTAATAACAAGTTGACCCGTGTGAATAATTCGTAGACAATTTTCTTTAAGTTAAGGAATAGCAAAACAATATGGAAATAAATAAATCCTATGTATTATGTAAGGGAGGAATTATTTATTTTTCGGGATCGATTACAATATTCCATTTAATATAATAGACCAAAATATTTTTACATATTGCTTTGCTAGGGCATTTTTCTAAACGCTGGTTGAAAAGGTAACATTCAAAATAAAGCCTCAATCATGGGATTTTCTAAATAATTAAAAAATATAAAATGTAATATGAAAAAAATGCATTTATGAAATAATAAAGTATATATCAGCCAGGAAAAAAAATTTAGTAGAATAGTAAAGCAGTATCTTTAAAGAGGAAGAAATTATGAAGTATACCAAAGCTAATGGACTGTATCTTTGTTAATAATTGTCCGATTTTAACGATTTTGTTGGTAATTTATTAATCTTTCTAATAATCAAGGATACAATCAAGAAAAAAATGCATACTTTTTGGATTATTCGCGAATAAAGTTTCTTTTCGTTTATAACCAGAAATTTCGAGAGGATAGAACTATTTTTCGCATGTGAAAGAATATCTT